CCCCCTCCTCCCCTCTACCCCCACAGTAGATCAGCGGGGAAATGTACCCTAATGTTCTTTTGTTCCAAACTCCAGCTGTTCTCTTGAGTATTCTTCCTTGTTGCATAAGAAACTAGTAAACCAGTCTCAACCCGTGGGGCTAATATTGTTTGGAAACACAGAGAGACAACTGGGAGTATCTTTGACGTTTTTTATGAGAATAATGAATGGGTTTTGAAATCCGCATTAGAGAAAAGTGTTGGTGATGATAGCCCAATATGTCTTTCCCTTACAAATAGTATATTATGTTTATGGTGTCTGTTTATTTGCTTTGTTTTTGTATGACTATACGGCATTCTTAGATACCGAAAAGGCCATTCTAGAGATTTTTTTTGAAACCGGAAGAAGGATGAGGGTTAAAGCGTACGTTTTTGGTAGCCTAGTCAAAGTCACGAGCCAGGATAAGCGATTCCGCATATCTCATGAGCCAAAACAGGAGAATATGTGTGGGCCAATACAGTAAAATATTGGATGAAATCGATTGACTTACCCGAACCCTCAATAATGAGATAAAGCTGACTGTATAGATCTAGTACATGTCACTCAAGAACTTTTCCTGAGACAAAAATTTTGTAACTATTGGCTTCTATTTGAGTCGCAAAATTGTTGCTTTTGATTTTGAAGACTGAATTGAAAAAAAAGTTATAGTTATCAGCTCACCATGGGCTACTTTCGTAATTAAAATTGGACTGACTCTCGGGCTGGGCTGAAACTGCTCGCAGGCCAGTTCTAGCACATGGGCCGTAGTTTGTCCATGCCTGGACTTGACCCTCGGTCAACCTATCTGGCGGTAAGAGAGCAATTCAGAAGACACTCGGAGTAGGCACAGAGATACCTTTGTATTACCCTTAGACCAAAAGTAGAAGCGTAACAATTCTACCCCAACATAGGCGGGATTGGAGCCCCTGTTCTTCTATCAGCAGTCTATGATTTATATCCCCTTGCCTTATTGGATAGCTTTCCTTTCTTTAAAACTGAAAATCTGTTGCGGACAATCTCAACTCATGATTTTTTTTGCGTGCGGTTCTTATCTAGTGAAGTGAAGCGTGCTGGACGGTGAAGACGGTAACAATAGCTATTTTGACCGGCGTCTGTGGTGCAGCTGTTAGGCGCTTTTCTGTCGCACGCAGGAGATCTGAGTTCGATTTACGTGTGTGCAGAATTTTTATCGAGTATTTTGATCTGTCTGCTGTGACTGCATCTTTCTCAGCCCAGGTTGGCCCAGACAGGCTGGGTCAATGCTTGTCTCCTAGATAACCTAAATTATGTTGATGGTGGGATAAAAACACATTTATTAAATTTTAAATATTGCAAACTATTTATTTTGCTATTTTCAGAAACACAGACGTCTATCTTCAGAAGATGACGCTGGAGAGCCCGACAAAGCAACTTCTGTGGGTCCTCGTCCTGATTGCTGTCTTGTTCACCTTACGAAACATTCTCTGGTGGACGTTTGAGTATGGCTTCAGAACGGGACTTCTTTCTGGAACACGGTGGTATCGCTACACGTCGGTGTGTGAGATTCCCGATGACGTCAAGTCCGATATGGTGACGTTACTTTCCAAAAGTTTTCGAGCCATGAACAAACTGGGAATGTCACCTGTCGTCTGTTTCGGCACACTGTGGGGTGCATTACGCTACAATGACATACTGCCTTGGGATAATAACATTGACGTCTGCGTTCTGAATTCTGACATTGTGAACAACATAACGTTTTCTAGTATGGTCACATCGTTTTGGGAAGAAGGCGTAACGTTGCATCACTACAACCACTTATCGGGAAGCTACAGGTTCACTTTCGAGAAGGCTGACGGATATATTAACGTGTTTCACGACTGCACGGAACATTTTTACGGAAGCCACTCAGAAATAGGACATGACTATCCCAGATATTTGTCCAGACTCCCTCCTCCGAGATGGGTCTGCCCCAGCGGCTTTGCCAACAAAATGTTTGTGCTTACATATGACGGATACAAGCCTTTCCCTCGGTGGTTGATAGAGCCCCCATTCAAAAATGGCTCTGTGGCAGGGATTCCGGTGCCAGTGCCCCACGACGATTTTGAGATGCAGAAATATTTGTACCCTTCAGACGAGTGGGTGGAGAAGAGACCTCGTGGATGTTGAAAATATGTATTCTATCAATAAGCAATGGAATCAGACGCTTGAAATTAAGGAGGATGTGGCGTTATTGGTATTTCCTCAAAGCTTGTTCATTTGTCCTACTTTCGAAGAAAGACATACCCGTCTGTCTTGAATAACAGTCCAGATGCTTGCAATTGAAGGCGTCACCGGTAAAATGAACGAGAAAATGGCCGCCAAAGTTTGGTCACACCCAAAGCTTCAGAGTCCTTGGAAACTACTCAATAACACTTTTTGTGCCATTGATCGAAGTTTTTCTGTGAAATCCACACAAAAATGTCTGTTTGAATGGACATGAATGTGTTGAGCCACTAAAAGAAAATTCGAAAAAGATTACCCAAAGGGCAGAAAAATGCCTTTTTCTTGGATTTCACTATCTTGAGGAGCGCCAGTTTTCATCACTCTGCCTCACAATTGTGTTATGACGAGATGAACCCCAGAGTTGAGATAACGCTGAACTCCGTCCATGTAATTTCTTTCCAAAATTTCATTACAATGAGTTCTATTGACGATCAGATCGAACGGAATTTATGATTTCTAAAGCAAAGGCACGAGCTCACATGTTTTATATGTGTGTGTGTGTGTGTGTGTGTGTGTGTGTGTGTGTGTGTGTGTGTGTGTGTGTGTGTGCGTGCGTGCTTTTTGTATGTACTGTCTCTTACTCTTTCTGTATAATATGGATATGAGTGGGGCTGCGAAAGACAGAAAGACAGAAGAAGAGAAGGAGGGAGATAGAGAATGTGTATATTGTGTGTGTGTGTGTGTGTGTGTGTGTGTGTGTGTGTGTGTGTGTGTGTGTGTGTTTGTGTGTGTGTGTGTGAGCGCTCGAGAAAAAATAAAAGAGGAGAGGCTTGTTCTCCTTCGTTATCTTCAGATCATGACCAATAGCATCCCTCTGAACACAGATGGACATTCGTAGGCAAGCTGTTTAATCGTTCTGGGCCTAGACAGCAAACTTTTACAGGAGAGGGAGCCCCCCACCAACTATTTCACTTTTTAAAGATTGTCGAGCACAAGCAACCTATACCACAGATTAAGAATCTGTAATTAAAAACCCACGGCATCCCCCTGACCCAAGCTCTCCGGCTGGCGACTGAGAGACGTCTCTTTCTTCCCGCAACACCCAAAAGGGTATAGTATAAGGGGCGGATAAAAGTAAAGTAAAGTAAAGTAAAGTAAAGTAAAGTAAAGTAAAGTAAAGTAAAGTAATAAAAAAAGACCTTAGTACATTTGAAAAGCTGGCTGACGAATCATAGACCTACGTCACATTCTTGTTGTAACTCTTGACAAAAGTGCCTATATTAACTATACCTTTTATTGTGTGATAAACTTACGTCTAGATTCCTAATCATGAGGTACAAATGTATCACCAGCTTGTGATCGGGTCGCTGTTGTGGGGTTTTGCTTTCATTCTGTAGAATAACTGTATATAATGGCCGTTCATTCTGAATAATATTATTGTATTATTTAGTAAATAAGACAACCCTTAACACCTTTTCGCTATAATTCCAAACGATGCAAATTTATTTCATACTATTCACCTGGTATTGAAGAGAGAACTAGATCTACATGTTCTTTGTACCCACCCGTTTTTAATGGTCACGAGGCTTACCCCAAGGTTAAAGAAAGATGAATTCTGTAAGTTTTATTTTTGTCCCTTTTCGTTAACAATATGACACATTTCAAAACTCTTCAAGTTAACATGCCTCGTTTTACGGCTAGCTCAGCTGGTATCACGCAAGTGACATTGGTTCGAATTCTTAGTTGTGCGCACTTGAATTTGGTTTATAAAATTTCAGATATCCAAAATAAGTGCTATTATTACTATTTATGAACAATACAATTAAAATATTGCACATCATTTTCAAGTTCTTTTGATAATTTATTGTTAATAACTTTAAGAATGTTGAAAACTTTAACATGCATGAAGCTGAAATGAGGTGAAAACTATCAGATGTTTGGGACTTAACATAATTCTTCAATTATCTTCATTGTTCAATAAAATGTATTCCACTACAATGTGAAATGAACTGCGTATGAATACATGGTTTCCTCTAGAACTGTTTAATTAATTTTGTTCGACTGGATACTGCCTGTTTATGTTAACATGTTATGAGTCTGTGTAAGTGAAGTTCAAAGCTTTAAGGCTGATTTCACTCCAAAACCCATTTAAACAGCCAGTCTTAGATACAGTGCTTTAATAATGTTAGACCTACTAATTAACACCCATAAATCCAAGAAATTTACCAACTACGCCTTAAATATGTGGGCGGAAAGCTAGAGGTGAGCAATGGGACACGACAAAAGGGTCTGCTCACAGAGGCAAGAGAGAGAGAGAGAGAGAGAGAGAGAGAGAGAGAGAGAGAGAGAGAGAGAGAGAGAGAGAGAGAGAGAGAGAGAGAGAGTCCATTGATCGATAATTTCCCAAAAGGATTTACCCAAACTATTGTCGAAGAACTGAAAGATTTTGGTTTTGGATAAAATGTGTCTCAGTGCTAAAACGTTAGCTACGTTTTCATGTCTAACAGTAACAAAGAAACAGGAATAATCTGTAAGAATGACAGTAACACTCACATAGTCAATTATTTTATGTTTTTTTACACAAATTCTGTGTTCTTTTCGTCAGGTGGCCACTATGGTTTTGTTGCCATGTTAGTCACTTTGGAGTCGGTAATGATCAAACGATGATAGTGGCAGAAATTAATTCGCACGGTAAAATAGACAGTACCGCAGCACACCACACGAGTAAGTTTAATTTTAACCGGTCGTCTAGTGGTCCGGCTACCAGATTCTTAATCGTGAGGTTGCGGGTTCAGGGGGTCGAGCCGCGGGCCCCACGCTGTGTCATTGGAAAAGGCACTTTACACAAATATTCCTCACTTCACCTAGGTGGGAATGAGTACCCAGCTATAGACAGCGAATGATCTTGCCAGTATGATAGTGTTTTTAGCGCCTATGAATGGCAACTTGCACTGTATGCTTCCCAGGAAGTTGAGATTGTTTCAGAATGCTATTAGGTCTGCTGGGGTAATAGAATAGACTACATTTGCACTATACAAAATATGCTTTGTTGTGATGATGATGATGATGATGATGATGATGATGATGATGATGATGATGATGATGATGATGATGATGATGATGATGATGATGACGCTACACATCGGGCGCCGGTAAAGTCAAAGTTATAGATCATATAAATTGAAATTATTAATAAAAATAATGCATAGCATTTGTATAGAGCATACTTCTTCTCGACAGCAAGCTATGTATTAGACACTTTACAGTATATTGCATATTACTCCAGGAGACCCTAGAACTCGCAATAACTTTCTCGTCTTCTAGGGAAACATACAGTTTGAGCAGCAGATCAAGAGCAGAAACACTAAGAAAGAAGGAAAAATGGATGGAACAGCTGAACGTGTGATATAAGAACAAATTCTGCTAGATCGGAACACGAGTGGGTGAGAAAGAACGCCAAATTGACTTTTACTACATAGGGGGGAAGGAACAATCGGGATTTTGAATAATTTATTATAGAAGACTGGTTGGCTTCACACTTCATGGCCAGTTTTCGAAAATTAAAGGAAAACGATGTTACAGAGAAAAACATGAAAAGAAACAGAACGATTCAGAGGATATATTGCATGAAAGACCAGTCCAATTTCAATCATTTGTTTTTAAGAGAATAAATATTAGCAGCTTGTATTTTGAAATGGAATGTCAAAAAAAAAAAAAAACGTGCGGAAAAAAAGAGAACATCGAATAACGGAAAGGAGGTTGG